CTAATGTATCTTATTCTTATGCCCTCATGAAATGAAAGTTTCAAGTTATGTACGTATAACTTTGAACCACTTTAGTTCTAAAATCAAATCAAATAATTTTTTTTTTACTTAAGTGTATTTCCATTTTATAAAAGCAAAATGTCAAAATCACAAACGAAATTTGACACACTGAGACTATATCAATAGGTAGAATTTCTTCCCTACAAACAAGAAAATAAATTTTAGGCTTTCTTTTCAATATGTGGTATAATATTTAATTTAAAATACAAATAAAGATTTCTTTTTTTACAATTTTTAAATTTTTAAACACTTTACTTTTGTGATTGAAAACTAAAATAATGAATATATGTTAAATAAAAAAATCTGAAATTGATTTTTCATTAAATCAACTGAAATAAACACAAAACCTTTTAATTTTTTATTTTTCAATCATGGGCAAAGTATGTCGAAACATAATGAGAAGAAAAAAAAGTTTGCTTTTCATATTTTTAAAGTTTATTATCATAATTTTGAACTGTGGGCAAACCATGGGAAGAAGAACAACTATTTTTTTATTTTTAAGCTATGAGCAAAATATCGCGAATCATGGGAAAAATCTATTTTTATTTTATTTTCAGGCCATTGACAAAGTATGGCGAAACTTAGGAAGAAAAAAAAAGAAAAAAATATTATTTATTTAACAATTTTTAATTTTTTAAAAAACATTACTAGTGTCCTGATAATAATGTCAAACCAAGACACCGAAACGTTGCACAAGTGAAATTCTCCCTATGGTTTGCTTACAGTTAGAAATTTTGACAATAAACTTTAAAAATATGAAAAAAAACCTTTTTGTCCTTCTCGTGTATTGCCCATGGTTTAAAAATAAAAAAATTGAAAGGCCCTTGCTAAAACTCCATTTCGTGTAAGGCCAAAAGTTCAGGTTTTAAAATCACTTTCATAATCTGAAATTATACCAATATTTGGCCTCATGTAAGTTATTTTACCCGAAATCGGACTAAAAACAATAAAATATATTTTTTACATAGTGTATAAAAATAAAGAATATCAAATTTTAGTCCTTTCCTACCAATATCTATAAGAGCGTCATGTTTGCACCTTGGAATAAAAACTATCATAATAAAAAATCAACACAGGACTAGAGCCAGCCCGTCGCGTCATTTCCGTTCAGGGTGCCTTCTCCACCCTCGTCTACCACTCGAGCTGTACAGAAATATCAACATAAAACGCCTTTAGTTCCTTATTATTTAATGTAACATTTTTTTTCCTTTCAGTAAAAGTTTTATTAAAAAGTTGTTGGTTTTCGGATTACTTAATTTATATTATTTTCATGTTATAAATGAATAATGATCAATTTTATTATACAGCCTTTTATTTAATAATTTAGGTTTATTATAATCATCATATTATTATTATTATTTTGTGTTTTTTTGACCGTATTAATTAATTTGTAAAATAATGAGAAGGCAATAGATACGGTTTGTTTTTATTTATATGTTTAGTTCGAAACTAGTCGGGATTTTAAATAAATTTCATTAAAAAGCAAACCGTATAGGCCTTATTATTTTACATATTATTATTATTATTATTAATTATATAATTAACCCAAATAATAATAAAAATAATGATAAAAATAATAATAATAATAATAATAATAATAATAATAATAATATTAATAATATTAAACAAGAATAATAAAATACAAAATTGAAGATCAGAGAGCATAAAAGTGCATCATTTAGCCCCGCCGCCTTTTATAAAAATATTCATTATTTTATTTTTTCAATCTCCGCCAATCTTCGTAATATGAAATAAAATGATGTAATAAAATTTAGTACTTTAATTAACATCTGCTTTATTTTTCCCCTTTTCACTTCTTTTTCACTAAATAATCAAATGTGTTAAAATGATTTAACGTATTTAATAGGATTCATTTGTTTTTAATGACAACCTTTGCTGTAATACTGTCGGGAAATTTTAGAGAAAAAAATTTCCTCGTAATATTAAACAATTTTTTTTTAAATAAAAACTTTGTATGAATCTAATATGTCTGTCCAAAAAAGGAACACTTTTTAGGACAATTTTCTAAATATTTAATATAGCATTCACTAATATGAATAATTAAGTGTCAGTTTAGGATCTGTACATAATTTCTATTACTTCAATTCAAGACAGAAATCATCAACATATTCAATGAAGATGAAGAATAAAAATAAAAAGTATTGGCCACTAGAAAGTTACGCATTTTTCAGCGATGGAGATGATTTCTTGACAATTTCCTCGAGGTGGGTATATTTAAGAATAACGATTTAAAAATAACTTTAAGAATAAAAATTCTAAACACTAAAACGTACCCAGGATAATAAATACTATATAGCAGGAATGAGTAGATTTTTCGATAATCGTTTATGCAAAGTTAACTTTAAGAATAAAAATAAAATTTTAACCAAATTTTAATGTTATTTTGTTATCAATCTTTTAATTTTCCTAATTATTTGTTATCACTGTTAACTTAATGGTGTCAAACTGCAACGAATTGATACCAAAAATGTAGATCAAATAAAAAATTGATCTTAATTTTTAACATCAATTTGATCCATTTTAGTATAAATTTGACACTTTCAAGTAGAAAACTGTGTAACAAATAATAATTGTTAACATTTAAATTTGAAAATCAGAAGTATATTAGGCTTGATTTCAAGCACTTTTAAAAGTTCATACCACTTTGTCACTTTAAAAAAATCGATTTTTTTGAATGACTTTTTAAAGTAAAACGCATCTCAAAAGTGTAGTGTAAAAGTTTTAGAAATATCCGAGCACTCTAAACATATATTTTTCGTCGATGCTATTTAAGCGAGTACATACATCGACGCTGTAAGTATATGATTTTTCAAGAAGAAAAACTTTAAACGTGTTTTTCTCCAAACCGTAGTTTTTTCTATATTGCGTAATGTTTTTCTCAGAAGCTACTGGACCGAATATTACGAAATTTTTACCACATCTTCATAACATGTATGGGTATCACCTTAAAAAAAATATTTTTATCACTTTTCTTAAATCGAATAACTGGACAAACCAAACTTATTTTTGAAGAATTTTGTTTCAACAATAACCATTTAGTTATTTTTGCATAAAAATTAATAATTCTACTTTGGACGTTAACTATAGCAATACAGTCCTTTTGAACCTAAATTATATTCGTCTTTGGGTTACAGATATTTTTAATCCGAAAAAATACCTACACCGCAAAAAAAGCATCCTAAAAATAATACACTGTAGTCACTTTTAAGATTTTTAAAACGTCTCATTTTTCAATCTTCCATCTTAAGAAACAATGCATTTTAAGATGCTTTTGATAACTTTTTCGAAACAACTTAGAAGCAACTATACCATAGTATCTTAAAATAAGATGCCTTCTTTTTACGGTGATGCGTATATATAAAGCTATGGCATAGGTATTAGGGATCCTACAAAAAAAAACCTCATTCGAAATTCCAGGTTTCTTCCAGGTTTTCCATGTCATTTTTCAGAAAATTTCAGTAAAATGTTGAATAAGATTTCCACATCATTTAAATTAATTTAAAATATATAATACAGTGTATGCGTATGCGTCGCAAATAAACATTTATATATAACATAAATCCACATGTTTTGAACGGATAGAATTAATTTTTTTCTAAATTATTTACTTTTCTTTCAAATTTTATACATTTTTCGAACTATGGGAAGATGTCTGGCAAAGTATAGGCAAAGACTGACATTTTACCAAAACATTGCCAGACTTCTGTCAAACTTCTAAAGATAATTACTATCGGAAGTTCTCTATACTTCGGCAAATTTTTCCCGCATACTTCGAGAAAAAAAAATGTTAAAAAAGCTGAAAATTTTTGAAAAAATTTATTCTAGTCACTGACCATCTTTCGTTAGTCTCTTGCCATGCTTCGTAATATAATAAACATTTATTATAAAATAACTGAAAAATTTCGCAGAGCTTATTTTAGTAATTGAATTCTTTATCAGATTCTTCTCATAGTTCCAAAAATGTATAAAATTTGATAAAAACAGTATAAATTCAGGGTGTCCGCAAAATTTTACTTTAAAAATTCACTGACTAATAAATTTTTTAATTATTTAAGATTCTACATTGCTGAATGAAAAGTTTATAATGCTTTTAAAGTAACAATTTTATTTATAAAGGAAAAAAAAGGATAATTAAAAATTGTTTGTTAACAAAATCTTATTATGTCCGTAAGAACGTTCAAACTTATATGAAAAATGTGACGGTACCATTATAATGAGCTATATTACAAAAACGTCTGAATAAAAAAACTGAATTGAAATTTATGTATCAAACTTTTTTAATTTGTGGTTTCTTTCGATCAAAATTTCCTTACTTTTAAAGAATTTTTCAAAAATTCCCTGACTTTTTCTTGACTACAAAAATTCCCTGATTTCTAGTTTTTCCATGACTTGCGGTCACCCTGAAATTTCACAAAAATTGATTCTTTCCGTTTGCTCATACTTTGCCAGACTCTTCCCCTCATTAAAATTGATAGATTAATGATTACTGATTTTGCTATTAGAAATAATAGTATTCCCTTTTCTTTTAATTTATTGGCTGAAGTTAGGTTAACTTTTTAAGTTAAAGTAAGTGTTGTGAAATTTAAGATTTTCGAGTGTTAACATTTTTCTGTTTGCGATTTTTGTAGCTCTTCATTTTAACAAGTGGAGTTTGAACCTATTTGTAAGGGAATTCCATTACAAATGGGTTCAAATTGTTGAGTAATAGATTCTACACTGCCTTTCAATTCTTTGTTGTATATTTTATAACATTTGGAATATAGTGCTAAAGTATCCAGAGTGTTGAAACACATAATTTCCAGTTAGGGTTTCGCTGTTATTGAATATTTTCGCAATAATGGGGATTAGTCCAGGTCTCACTTTAAACAGGTTCTACTGTATTTTGAGCAGAAAAATAATAGAAAATTGTGATAACCTACCTATTTTTCGCAGCTGCAGCTCTATCCCTTTGTCTCCTATTTTTGAACCAGTTACCAACCTGCGTAGGCGTTAACCCCGTGGCAGAAGCTAACTCCCTTTTCTTCCCCGGGTTCGGATAAGGATCTTGAAGGTACCACTCTCTTAAAAGTGACCTCGTTCGCTCCTTAAAACAGTGAGTCTTTTGTTCCCCGTCCCAAATGGTTCTCGGTAATGGGAATTTCTTTCGCACCCTGTACTTGTCCACGGGACCAAGTGGTCGACCTCTCAACTTCTCAGCCTCCTGATAATGTGCCTCGAGCCACATCGCTTGCAATTTCCCGTGTGAATCTTTGGTGAATTTATGCCTCTCTAGAATTGCGTAAAGTTCTCTATAGTGTCCAGCGTGAAACGCCACTATGGCTCTTGCTCTCAATACCGCTTCACTCTCGTTGAGTTCCTGGATGTTGGGATGTGCCACCGGAAGGCTCCAGAGGAATCTCGCTAATCTCTCGATATCACCACTTTCCTCCAGGGTCTCACAAACTGAAGCCACTTGACCCACGGTGAAAGACAGAGTGGGTAGAGCGAAGACCGGCGATGGCACTATCGGACCGTTCGAACTCGGCCCCGTAGCGCCGGGACCAGCTGGTGCCACGGCTGACATCGGTTTTTCTCTTTGAATAATATCGTTCGATTTTCTCAGCACTTTAACTCTCTTCCTGAATCATTCAATTATTCAGTCCCATACACTTATATTCAAGGCATCGAACTCTCCGTTCTAAATTCAACTCATCCCGCTTCTCAAGAAGCCAGACTTTTTGAATTTGCTTCTTGTGCTTTTCATGTCATTGCCTCTACAATAACACAATTGGCTGGAAATTAAAATCCAATACTGTTATCCAGGTCATTTTCATTTTCACTCATCACTTAGCTACAGTTTCCAAACTCGTAGTGAAGAAAGAGCAACACTGATCACTTTAGCTACAGTTCCCAAATTCGCAGTGAAGAAAGAGAAACACTGATCACTTGAACACAAAGCACTTAAAAATCGGCAATTGTCACTGCAGTCCTTCACTAGGCTAGGTCAGATTACATCATTTAAACTTTCGAAACTACTCATTTGGAGAACGAAGATTATTCGAAGATTGAAGATTATTGAAGATTGAAGATTATTGAAGATTATTCGAAGCTTATTTGGAAGACATATCAACGGAGCAGCGTATTAACTGAAGAAATAAAAGTGAACATTGATAGTGTTCACTATCATCGGGAGTAATTCACCTCTAAAGTGGGGGAGGGGAATGGGGAGGGGGTCGGTGAAAAACCGGTGATACAAAGCCACACGGTTTCTTCTCTGTTTTTTAAGATATCGCGGGGCTGCTGTTGCCTCGATCGTATCGAATAGCAAACTGGTTTCGTTTACAACCCGACATCTCGGACCCAGCCCTACCCAGCATGATACGTTTGTCCGCTCGTAGGCACCGGGAGTTGGCTCGTTCGCCACCTTCTCTTCGCCGATGGAAACTCACAGCCAATGAGAGGCCACGCCTTCTTGGCAACTGATGATTGGCTAGATCCAATCCCAGTAACCATGGTAACTTTACTTCGTCCTCCTCCCTCTGTCCTTCTGTTGGGCTTGTGTCGGTTTAATTATCCCCACCAACGCTGGGGTATTTTGATCCCCCACTACAACTGGATATTCTCCCCTCCCGTGCGTTGATTTCTCACGCCTCTCTGCTCCTCAAAGCCGGGAGAATGGGTGGTGTGCTTTTCTACTTGATCGTGTGAATGGAGGGGAGAGAGAGGGGTACTAAGTTGACAGGTTCTAGTTGGGAAAATGTATAGGAGCCAGACGACAGCGAGGAAGAAACAGTTGAACATGATCCTCGAGGAGTCGTAATCTCTTTCTCTCTCTCTCTCTCTCTCTCTCTCTGTGCTCTTCAATTCATGACTTGTGGTTCGACAATATCTTTTGTTTCAGACTCGTCTGCTTAATCGACACCCTTTTAATTCGAAAACCTTCTAATCCGAAATATTTTCTTACGCGAAGAAACAGTTAATGTTCGAAAAGCATTTACTTATTGAATAAAATGCATCCAGAGAAATATATCGAGATACAGAAATCTTTTTTGTAGATATATCGGAAACTGGTGGTGATACAAAAGTCTTTTTTGTAAATATATTGAAAACTGGTGGTGATATACAAAAATCTTTTTTGTAGACATATCGAAAACTGGTGGTGTGTTGAAAGTTAAAGCTCTGTTGAGATTTATGGGCATGCGCTGGATTTATGGCAGGGCAGCGGTTCCAGATCATAATCATAGCCAAACTGTATACTCCAGCACGCGTCGATCTGTGTGAAATTCTAGAAATATGTATGTATGGAGGGGATACAGTTTGGCCACGATCTGGCACCTGTGGTTAATGGGAATATCTGAACTGGAGACGCAAGCTCGACTATATCAATATCAGATTGCATAACAGAGATATAATTTGCCTCTATCTCCTCGAAATTTTGTTAACACACTGTGCTGCACTATGGATTTTTATTGTTTTTTGTACTACCTGCGCTAGTGTATATAAACTACACACAAACAATGTCCTGTCAACATCCTGGTGAGAAGGATCATATCCAAAGGAAATTGAAAACTTTACTATACTGAGGGCCCCAGTTTCACCAACTCTGATTAAAAGTTAATCAATCATTAAAATAAATTTAACTGCTCATGAAAAGCTTAATATAACAACACCCTTGTTTAACACAGTTAAACAAGGGATAACATTTTATCGTAATTTCTAAATATGTTAAAATAAAGAGCGACAAAAATGACACCAGAAAAATGATAAAACATGAAAATCTTCATTTTCACTACAACATTTCTTGTTATTACAATAATGCTTTTGAAGGAATAACCGAACTTCAGAAAATAAATTAAAACAAGTGAGAACAACATTATTTCTAATAAAAAAATCATTAAACAAAGGCTTCGCACTCATCTACTAAAACCTACAATTTACTAATTTTTTTACGTTATGCTACTATTTGACTATACTTCTATTTATTTATACTTTATCCACACAAAAAGCTACTATTTCTGTTTTTTTGAAAATTTTCATTCGCTGATATAGTAGAAATCAGAAAAACTATTCTCAAAAATTATAATCAAATTCTTTAAAACGATTTCAATTATTTTCAGAAAATATTTGAAATTCAATTATTTTTCAATATCTATAGTATTTTTATAAAATTTCGAAAAAAAATTCAATTATTAAAAAAAATTTATAAAATTCATCCAAAATTCAATTATTTTCATGAACAATAAAATTACCACAGGACATCAATTAATTTAGAATAGCATTTTCAAAAAAATTTCACAAAAAACAATTATTTAGCATAATTTGTATACAATTTTTCACAATAATTTAGTTATTTTCACTAATATAATAACATTGTTCATGGAAATTCAATTTTTTAAACATTTTTTTCATTGAATTCTAAGCAACAATTCAATTATTTTTATAAGTAATAAAACTTATCGAAGAATTTCAATTATTTTTAATAGTATTTCAAATTAATTAATCTAAAAAATCAATCATTTTTTTACAAATAAAGTTTTTTACAAGAATTAAATTATACCTATTTCAAATAAATAATTTTATAAAATTCTTATGAAGAATTCAATTATTTTCAGAAATAACAAAATTTTTCAAAAAAATTCAATTCTATTTTAAATTTTTAGAAATTTTAATAAAATTTTTCGCCAGAATTAAATCATTTTCATAAATAATAAAATTCTTCTCAGGAATTCAATTGTATTTGAAAATTTTAGTGAAATTCATTGCAACTATTCAATTATTTTCATAAATAATAAAATTCATCGCATAGTATTTCAATTATTTTTAATACAATTTTACAGGAATAATTGCTCTAAAAATGTAATTATTATTCTTAAAAATTTAATTTCAATTCCTCAAAAAATAAAAAAAAATAAAAAAAAAATTCAATAATGTCGATAAACAAAAAAAATTATTTCCAAAAATTCAATTATTTTGGGGCATTTTAATAAAATTCTTTGCAAAAAATATATAAATATTCATCACAAGAATTCAATTATTTTTAAAAGTAATAAACTTTTCCTTAGAAATTCAATTATTTAAAAAAAATTCTAATAAAATCGCTTGCGAGAATTCAATTATTTTCATAAATAATAAAATGCTTCTAACGAAATCAATTATTTTTTAAATATAATTTCATAAAATTCCACACAGACATTCAATATATTATATTATCAGAAAATTCTAATAGAATTTTTAAAAAATTTTTCGCAATTTAATCATTTTCAATATCTACTATTTTCATAAAATTTCCAAACAGAATTCAATTATTTAAAAAAAATTTTGTAAAAATCTTTGTAAGAATTCAATTATTTTCATAAATAATAAGAATTTCTTATAAGAATTCAATGATTGAAATTAGAATTTGCATAAAATTATCCCCACAGCACCGAAACTTTCTTAAAAATTTATTAAATATTTACTTGCAATATTCGGAATATTTAATTACAATGTTTATTGAAAGTTGTGTAAAGATTTAAATGTCCCGATTAAATAAATGTTTATAGCGCAAAACTTTCCTGAAAATTTCAATGAAATCTTCGAAAATATCATTGAAATGTTCATTTAAATCTTTACACAACTTTCAATAAACATTGCAATTAAATATTCCGAATATTGCAAGTAAATATTTAATAAATTTTTAGGGTCAAAATAAGTGAAACCGGCCACTTGAAAAATTTTTGTCTCCAATTTTCAAGTTATCTATAATTTTTGGTAGATATATGAGTACACTTTTTCCTCCTAAAATATTTTTCAAAAAAAAAAGATTTTATTTTTGAAGTTATCGCAGGTATTGAAGTTTTGGGTCATTTTATTTTCATTTTATTATTACTTTGAAACAAATAAAGATAATTAAGTAAATTTTTTTTTAAATTAAAGCTTAAAGTCTATACTTTAAAGATGAAATAAAGCGATTGCTAAGAAATGAAATTTTTATAAAATTCTTTTGCAAGAATTAAATTATTTTTATAAATATATATATAAATTTTTTGATGAATAATTAAATTCGTTGCAGGAATTCAAGTTATTAGCAGGATAAGAAAGAAGTAAATATATTTTTGATGAAAATTAGGAAAAAGTGAGGAAAATAAAATATAGAATGGAATTTTTGTCAGTTTTGTGAGGTATCTGAAACGAGTTTTTTTGGTCATCAAGTTTAATTTTTCGTTAGCTATACTTTTTTACTCCTTTTTTAAGCTTGAAAGCCAGTTTTTACTCCTTTTTTAAAAATTAATTATCGGGTGCGAAGTCTGCTAAACTGTTTAATTTTAATGTCTGGCAAAGTATGGGCAACAGATATAGAATTAATTTTTGTGAAATGTTTCAGTTTTTATACAAATTTTTTTCATTTTAGGAAGCGAGATAGAGGAGTCTGGCAAAGTAATGGACAAAGGCTAGAATGAATTTTTGAAAAATTTTTTATCGTTATTAAAATGTTTTTTTTCAATTTTTGTGCCAATTTTCAATTTTTTAACAAATAGTTTTTCTTTTTGAAGTGTGACAGAAATCTGATAAAGTGTTGGCAACAGCTAATACATTTTTTTTTTAATTTTTCAAGAATTTTTTTCATTCTTATAAGTATGGGCAAAATCTTGTAAAGTATATGGCAATGATTAACATCATATTTTGAAAATTTTTTGAGTTTTTGTACAAATTTTTTTTAACTTTTGTAAGATATATGGGTATAGTTTGCCAAAAAGTATCATAAAATCGATGATATAATATGTATAACAGAACGAACATGAACTAAGGACTTTCCTAAAAAAAACATATTTCGAAAAATTTATAAAAATTTTCCCATATTTTGGAAAATGAATAAAATTGTACAGAAAAGTAAAATATTTCGGAAAAATTGAGTCTGGCCGTTGTCCTGACAAATCATTTTTAAAACAGTTTGAAAGAATAATCCATCGATGGATTATTTTATAGTCCTTTAATGGATTATTATAATTTTGGATGTGGATTAAAGCGTTGCAAATTATTTTAATCTATTTTGGCGTTACAAGTAATTCCCCCGAATTTTCTGTGTTTGTTCCTTATAAGAGTTAATTCGATAAGCAAATGTTTTGAATCACCATAAAAATATACACACACGCATATAAAAGTAAAAGTATGGGTGATGCTTGGTCAGAATTACAGAGACTTGCTATTTGTATTCATGGGTGTACATCACAAGAGATGAATGAGAAATCTGCAAAAATGTAGCGTTTTGCTGGTGGGTATTTAAAAAGCATATTCTTCTGATTTGGTATTGTAGGTCCGACACTTTTGGACAACAGAAAGGAGATCGGCACAGATTTGGATT